AGCTCCCTGCTTATGGCCTGGGAAAGCAGTGGAGAACAGCTCAAGGCCTTGGGCTCTGCACCTGCGTGGGAGATGAGGGAAGTTACTCCTGGCTTCCAGCTTTGGATCAGTGCAGCTTTGGCCATTGCGGTCAATTGGGAAGTAAACCACGGGATGGAAGATTCTCTCTCTCTCTCTCTAACTCTGCCATTCAAATAAATATAAAATTGTAAAACAATAAAACAGGAAATCTTGGGCCAGTGTCTTGTGGCATAGTTGGTTAAGCCACATTCCATATGGATGCCGATTTGAGTCCTGGCTGTTCCTCTTCTGATCTAGTTTCCTGCTAATATGCTGGGAGAGCAGCAGATGATGGCTCAAGGGTGTGGTCCCTGCCATCTCCATGGGAGATTCACAGGGAATTCCAGGTTCTTACCTTCAGCTTGGCCTAGTGCTTGCCCAGCCATTTGGGGTGGGGGACCAGCAGATGGAAGATTTTTCCCTTCCTTCCTTCCTTCCTTCCTTCCTGCCCTTTCTTTCTCTTTCTGTAAATTTCTACAAAATAAATCTTTAATAAAATTAGGAAATCTGGCTAGTTACTTTTTTAAGAGGATAAGACATGTGACAATATTTCATCTGCTAAGGTGTTTTCTACTGTGAGAGATTTGCTAAGCTTTTATAAGCTAAAATCTCAACATCAGTTATATATGTAACTGCACTTTCTCCTACTTAGTATTACAGAATGGAATCTTGAGTATGAAAAATGTCTTGTACAGCATGTCAAAATGTTGTGCAACATCATTTTAGTCTAAACAGAAATGAAAAAAAAGGAGCAGATGATCTCCCTTTTTGCTATAATTCACTTTGGGATGCATGTCATGAAGAGCACTATACAAAAGCAATTTTCATTGATTGACTGACTGATTGAGGAAAAGGGTGAATGTTCTTCCAGCTTAAGTCCCTACTGAAGTATGATTCTTATGGCTCTTGACAGCTCTTTACAATTTGCAGTTAAACATCATGTTAGCTAATAAATGAATGAATGAAACGAGATAAAAAGGGAGGGAGAACAGAGAAAGAAAAAAATAAACAGAACTTCTTTGAATTTTTAGTTTGGGTGACTTGAGTCAAACAGATCAACAGGCTGGGTAAGATCAGTTCAGAACTAACTGCTTTAATTCCTCCATGCAACGTCTTCAGATTTTGGAGACTATAATTGCAAACAACTCCTCACTAATAAATTATTGGCATCATTTAATCTGTACTTGTCAGTCCTCATTCTAACTGTGTGGGAATTCTTTCTGTAGCAATAGTTTTAACCAATATTCTGATTTTGAGAAGCTGTTGGTATCAGTGTCCTATGGTCAAAAAGAATTAGTCACATTTTTGAAATGCTCCTCAGACTCCATAAAACACGGAACTTCAGGTAGCTAGTTTGGGCAGGTATATCACTCTGTGCAATGACCGCATGAATGCTCATCCAGTGGGTAAAGCTGCAAATACTTACATTACCCGGTGCTAAAACAATACAAAAATCAAATACAAATATTGTCTTTTACACTACTACAACATCTTGGTGTCCAAACTGCTATCAGTACTGCTGGTCTACATCAAAATTTTCTTTTTAGCTTATTCTCCTATTGACATAGCATTGAGGGAATTTTCTCCTACCCATTCTTAATTTATGTAAACTGCATTTTAACCAACTGTTAAGTTAAAGTGGGTATTTTTACTTGGAATAGATTCTCTAAATTACAAGAGATCTTCCAATGAATTCAGTTTTGACGTTCGTCAAGTAATATTTGTTTGGGAAAATACAGAAGTTGGTTTATTGACATAGCAGATGTAAAGCACTCACGAGCAGTGCCATGGCAGGTCGTGATAAAGGCATTTTCAGGTGAGGGGTACTGCCATGCGTTTCCAGGCTGCTGCACACAACTGTGAGGCTACTGGAAAACCCTCAGAGCGGGTTCCTTCTTTGTTTACTATAGAAGCTTGAGGAGGTCACTTTTGCTATTTGGAACTGACAGTCTTCACGCAGTCATGCTTACAGCAAAACAGGTCCAGGTTGGGTTGGAAAAACAGTTCAAACTAGTAAATAATTGCAGTATCATTGCATCAGTTTAGTTTAAAGAGCTGACAAACCCTCTCTAAACTCCAAGCACAATTAGTCATTAGGGTCTAGTTTTTCAGCACTGTTAAGCAATTTGTAACCCATTCCTTTTAATAGGGTTAGGCATTACTTAACCGACACAGATGCCTTGAAAACTGAAACCTCAAGTTACGAAGCAGCAACCTTGTTCATTACCTTATGCGATAGGCAAATCATCTACAAAAAACAGCATTTAATGGGCAACCAATGAATAATCAATGGCTCACTTTTCATCTGAGTGCGAAGATGAGAATAATCTAATACTGAGTCCCTCTGGTCAGAGGCTCAGCCTTGGGTTCCTTTGCTCTTCAGGCCTGATTTATAAGGTCTTGGAAAGCTGATGTAAACAGATGATCAATGGGACCCATCCCTGCTCATAATAACCCCCAACTGGCCCACTCCCTCTTTTCCAAGTCCATGCCTTCAGGCTATTAGCTCTGTCCAGCTAATTCTTCCCACTACTCCTGCCTGCTGCTTTTACTCTGGCCATCCGTTCCGTCCAGCCGACTCAGAAGTAATTTTATACGCAGCAGAGAGCGGGTGGAATTGATTTTTCACTCAGCGCTCAGTTCCCATCTGAATAATTATCAATTTTACTGCCTCATAAAGGGAAGAGTCAAAATTTCAAATCAATTCAAAAGAGCTTTTGAGACGACAGAAACTGTGCATAAGAATAGAGGTCAAAGTTGTCAGTGACCTAAGGAGATGATGTCAGATATTACTATACCCAATAGTTGACATCAGAGGCTCTCAAGATGATACAACCTAGTGCTAATGCAAATCATATTTATGCTGACTACCAGAGACCAGTCATTAATATTTAAAATGCTATCTGAAAGCCTACATTCCAAATAAATAGAACGTATTCCAATGTTAATAAAGATATATCACTACTTAGTCAAATGCTATAAAGTGAAAGATTACCAAGTATTATTAACACAGAGAAATTACTTAAACCAACAAATGCATGGTAATTCTGAGTGAACACAAACTTGATTGTCTCCTGCACAGCCACATTACTTGCTAAATACACTTTGATGGCATTTTGTTTAGGACCACTGCCTAGCGATTTTGGCTGAAATTTTCTACCAACTTAAAAAATTTTGCTGAAGTTTATGGGACAATACTGGAATTACGGCCAAGCACTGGCAGGACGATTTGGTGGTGGACCTGTTCCTTGCTGAGACAGGGGCTGGGTCTGATACCTGACAACCCATGGGGCCATACTTTATATGCAGTGCTTACATGTTCTAAGTTGGTGGTCCCCAATATTCTCCCCAGAGAAAAAACCAGTGCTCTGGGACACTCGCCATAGTAGCAGTGGCTACTACACTGAGCTGTGCTTGTGTGGGGTGCAGGGAGTGGAGAGGGGAGAACTCACCTGAGTCTTGGTACATCTGAAAAGGCATTTCAGGTGAATTTGAGAACTGATGCTGTGATTCATGAGGATTTTGGGTTCTGAGCTAAATAACTGGTTCAGATTCTAGCACCATTATTTCTCAGTTGATCCTTCTGCACCTCACTTTAGTCATTAAAACATGGGATAATGATACTCATGTTTCAGGGTTCTTATGAAATCTGAGAAGACTTCTGTCACTCTGTCATTGCTTCCTAAATCAAATTATCAAACACCAGGTTAGCTACTTGTCTCTTTGTCATACAAGGAAACTTTTTAACCAGAGAAAGGATGCCTTATAAGTTTTAGTAGTTTTGCATCTCGTATGTAATAAATGTGAGACATTTTTTTCTTACCTTTACTGCATTACCAACATGGTGTAACATTTCCATGCTTGTACCAGTTACAGGCCTGTAAACCCTCTTTACTTAGCTATGTGAAATCTGAATTACAAACCTTCCCTCCATTCCCCGCCCCACTGCCAGGTAAGTGGTTAACTGAAACATCACCATAATTAAAGTTTACATAATTTCATTTAAATATTAGCCAAATATGATACCCAGAAAGGAACCTCTTTCATGGCTGTCTCATTTTATTTTCATCATTTCTTTACTTACAGGCTCCACTTTCTGCTGATTGCAGGCAATTTATTTGCTCACTAATGACCATGTAAAAAGACATTACTGAAGTGTTTAAATTTGCAAATCACAGATTATTATGGACATAATTTGACAAAAGAAAACAAGTGAAAACAGTATGGAGACATCATTTTCCAAAGTTACTTAAATTAGAAAGTATGGTATGGTATGTCCATAACAATATTATTCTCTTTGAATACTTCTGGCACATGCAGTCATTTTTATGCCTGCTATTACTGTGATGTACAGAACTTTTAAGAAACACTATTAAACTTGGACCCAATTCATATTACACAATTAAAGGACATCTGAAACTGTGGCTTCACTTTTTATTAGTTAAGTGCGCCTGAGAATATAACCTTAACTAACTGAGCTGTGAATTCTCCTTGCAAATTTGGAGAAACACATTAACACTATTATATGATGATCAGACAGTGCCTAGCAACCTGTCTGATATAAGCTAGGAGCCTAGAGTACAGGATTACCTTAATATAACAGAGAACTCGCAAGGCAAGCTTCAGAGAGCATTATCAGAGGCTCCAGGAAAGAGATCAACAGTGAGTGTTTTACATCCAGTTCTGCCCTATTTTCTTCCTCGGGTCTTTGGAAGAACTATTCTCTAAGTTTCAGCTCTACTAAGTTTAGACAAATGACCCAGGCATTTCTTGAGGGGAGGTAGTGCTGGGGGCCTGTGTATCCTTTCACTTTTGGGGAGAAGACTCCCTGAGAAAAACTGGTAAAAGGCCTTAGCAGGATATTGCTCCAAGAGACAGGCAGGGACCAGGCTGGCTTCGGGGGGAACCCCTCCCAAGCGGGGTGACCCATCATCAGTTACCTGCTGCAGGACATCTGGGTTTTGCTGCATAAAATGTAAGAGTCTCTGAGCAGCCTGGGCAGCCTCTCGGCATCGAAGTGGCTTCTTGCCCTCCTTTGCTATGTGCTTGTAGAGGTAGGTGACGATGCAGTCTAAGCTGGTGCAGCAGCTGGAGGAGACAACTGTATCTGTACAAACAATAAATAAGAATTCATTTGTGTTACTGAAGTGTTTACTTCAGCTGATGACAAGGTCTCCCACTGAAAGATCATTTCCAGTTGCAAAGGATTTCTTCTCAAACTCTAAGTTCCTCCAGGACAGGGATTTTGCCTTATCTTTTTAAAACTCAGGAATTATTACAGGGCCTGGCACAGGGATGTGCTCATTAAGTAAAAAGATTCCTGGATAAAACTGTGAGCTTAATAACTTCTGTGCAATTCAATTTCTGGTTAAATTCAGGTAACTACTGATTCAGTTACGCCAAGTGCTATGCCTGAGGACACATCTTGCTGTCAAAGAGCTCAGGGCTCAGTATACAAATCCTGTAGTACACAGTTGTATAAAATGAGCGATATGCTGCTGAGGAAACGTTGAGGGGATCAAGAGAGTTTGGTAAGGGGCTGGCATAGTGCATCAAGCCTCAGCTTTCAGTGCTGGCATTTGGGTGCCCTTTCGAGTTCTAGAGGCTCCACTTCTGATCCACCTGGGAAAGCAGGGTAAGGTGGCCCAGGTCCTTGGATCCCTGTATCCACGTGGGAGACCTGGAATAAGTTCCTGGCTTTAAACTGGCCCATCTCCAGCCATTGTGGCTACTGGGGGAGTGAACCAGAAATGGAAGATCTCTCTTTCTGTGTCTCTTTATGTAGCTCTGCCTTTCAAATAATAAACCTTAAAAAACAGAGAGTTTTGTGAAGAGAGATTTTTCCAGAAGTGGGAGCAAGATGACCATTTTAGTGAGATAGAAGGAAGGGTGTTTTTCAGACAGATGAGTATAAGGCAGCACAATGTGGTAGAAAAGCCACAGATTTGGAAGTCAGCTCTGATTTCAAATTCCACTCTTCCCAATCACACGTGCTATTGTGGAGTTTCATGAGAATAAGCTAACTGCTAGTAAAAACAGCTGATATTTATGGAGTACTTAATATTTATTACTATGTTAAGTGATTTACATGGATTAACCATTTTAACCCTCACAATAATTACTATTATTATCTCTACCTACTATGATTATCTCTATTTAAAGGTAAGGCTTAGCGATTAAATGATCTGTCCAATGACACACCCAACTAAAGATTGTGTGGCTAAGGTATGCTCTGGGTCTGCATTTTATTTTTTTAAGATTTATTTACTTTTATTGGAGAAGCAGATATACAGAGATAAAGAGAGACAGAACTCCATTTTTTTTTTTTTAATTGGAAAGTCAGATATATAGAGGAAAAGACACAGAGAGAATGAGAAAGATCTTCCATCTGCTGGTTCACTGCCCAAGCAACTGCAATGGTTGGAGATGAGTTGATCTGAAGCCAGTATCTAGGAACCTCCTTCAGGTCTCCCACACGGGTGCAGAGCCCCAAGGCTTTGGGTCGTCCTCCACAGTTTTCCTAGGCCACAAGCAGGGAGGTGGATGGGAAGCAGGGCTGCTGAGATTAGAACCGGCACCCGTATGGGATCCTGGCTCATGCAAAGCAGACTGTGGCCATTAGGCAATGGCGCCAGGCCTGATAGAACTCTTCTATCCATTCCACTCTCTAAGTGGCCACAAGCCAGGAACCAGAAATCTCCTCTGAGTCTCACATGAGGGTGCAGGTGCCAAGGCTTTGAGCCATTCTCCACTGCTTTCTCAGGCCACAAGCAGGGAACTTGTAGAGCAGTCAGGACAGGAATTGGTGCTCATATGGGATCTTGGTGCTTGAAGGGGGAGATTAGCCAATTGAGTCATTGAGCCAGGCCCTGGGTCTGTATTTTAAAGCACTAATTTATTTATTTATTTTAAAAAAAGATTTATTTATTTTTTTTATTGGAAAGGCAGATATACAGAGAGGAGGAGAGACAGAGAGGAAGATCTTTCATCTGATGATTCACTCCCCAAGTGGCCACAATGGCTGGAGATCATGAAGCTAGGATCATGGAGACTCTTTTGGGTCTCCTATGTGGGTGCAGGGTCCCAAAGCTTTGGGCTGGCCTCGACTGCTTTCCTAGGCCACAAGCAGGGAGGTGGATGGGAAGTGGGGCTGCCGGGATTAGAACTGGCGCCCAGATGGGGTCCTGGTGTGTAGAAGGTGAGGACTTTAGCCTCTAGGGTACTGCACTGGGTTCTTCAATCACTAATTTAGTAGTAATTGCTGGGGCAGGCCTTGTGGTGCACCAGGTTAAAAGGTCACTTCAAATTCCCAGCAACTTATACTGGAGTTCCGGGTGGAGTCCTGGGTGCTCCCCTTCTGCCCCAGTTTCCAGCTAAGGCGCCTAGGAGGGCAACAGGAAGTGGCCCAAACGCTTAAAACCGTGGACCACAGTGAGACCACAATGCAGTTTGTGGCTCCTGGCTTCTGCCTGGTCCAGATCTGACTGTACATCTGTTTAGGCATTGAACCAGCAAACGCAACAGAGACAGAATTTCTCTCTTTTACTCTGCCCTTTTCAAAAAACAGATAAATCTGAAAATGTTAAATATTAATAAAGATGTATGTAACCATCAAACATCTTAAAAACAATGGACACTTAAAGAAATGGCAGCTACTGCTGATTTACTCTCATGATAAAAAGGAGGCTATATTAAGGGTGCAGGACTTCTAGGCTTTGGACAGATAACATTTTGACAATGTATTTGGGAGTTTATAATTAATAAGAGAAATAGCAGGAGAAAACAAAGTGAAAACAGGATAGACTAAAAAGAGAAGCTGATTATCAAGAAAATAGGGCTGTGAAGCAGTAGATTATAAACTCCCTGAGGATTTGAATAGTTTCTTATGCATTCTGTTAGTCTCTGGGAACAGAGACACATGTGGTATGCCCAACATAGATCAGAGGTAAAACATCAGCTGAATTACGAAATGGATAACCAAAACTAACCCAAGGAATCTTCTAGAAAAGCCACTGATTTTCATTTAGTAGTAATACATAGCTCTGATACAGTGATACAGTTGAAAAACTCTGACATCATCTTAAAGCAAAATGTTATGGAAAGCAGAAGAGATTCTACAGCAAGTTTCAAATGCAGTGGTTGGGGCAGGTGTAAGGTTGCTGCATGGGACACCCTTATCCCATACAGGAGTGCCTGGGTTTGAATCCTAGCTTTGGTGCCAATGTGCTCGCTGAGAGGCAGCTTCCGGGTCTGTGCCACTGCAGGAGATGTGGAGTGAGTCCTGGGTCCTGGCTTCAGCTTGGTCTAGCCCTGGCTGCTGTGAGCATCTGAGCTGTGAACCAGTGGACAGAGATCCCTTTGTTTCTATGTCTCTCTTTGTCCTCTGAATAACAATAACAATAACAATAACAATAACAGATGAAATATAGGCAGGACATGGTACTCAACATAGGATCTTGAAGGATGAAGAGCTGAAGGAAGGTCTGAAAAGACAGACATGGACAATTGCTTTGGAAAACAAGCTATAAAGCTTAAGGAAGCAGAAATCTTTCTATTACTGTAATGGCATTTGGCTGAAAAGTTACCCTGTTTACTCTTCTCTTCCCCACTAATGGGGTTACTGTGTAGAAATAAAGCTTTTCAACAAAAGCTTTCGGTTTTATAGCATGGGAGGTAGCACAGTTGTGGAAAACACGTAGGCCTAAGACTCATACAGTGTCGCTGAAACCAGTCATATCGCTCTTTTCCCTTCACATTTCCATATTTGAAGTCCCAATCAAGAAAATAAACGGATTAAGTCACTTAACATCTATAAAGGCAAGCAGGAAACAGATATGGTTGCTTTCATCAGTGAAGAGCAGTATGCTATCAATCATGTGAAAATTATAAAGACTTCACGTAGATTTGGTGACCATATGCCATGCAGGTTGCATTAAAAGGTTCCAATGCACTGAGTCAGCTGTGAAAAAGCCAGGTAAACACTTTAGACGCAAAGGCTGAAGCATATATCCTTACAATAAAAGCATGAAGAAGAGCTTCCATTACGGCTGATTTATCGGTGGGGACTTTGATAAAGATAAATGTTATTTCACGATAGATTTAAATGTGGAATCAGAAGGATCAAAGGACATTTGGTCAAAAACAATGAATTGTGCTGAAGACGATGTATTATTATTACGGGTTTTCTCTGCTGCCAAACCAATATGTGAGATTCAAATAATGAAACTCCAAAAGCAAAGGCAAAAGTCATGTTTTTGTTTTCAAATTGTGCCCTAGCTCTTGCTATTTAGAATCTTTTCCAAAAAATTGCAACTGGAGTTTGGGTGGGTGATGTTGGAAGTCACTTTGAAGCTTAATGGGCTTTTGTCCTCATTGGCACCCTATCTGGCACTGGCAACTTCCAAATGCTCCCTCTCTCCTGCCACTGGTCTCCCCAGGAAGCACATGCATCATTAATGGCCCTCCAGCTCAGGGAGACCCATCACTGAAAGCTGCTCTGAAAAGTTAACTGTGGAGGGAAGAGCAGCTTAACTGACTCAGGAAGAATACGACAGAGCTGAAATTTGGCTTGAGCTCTTGACTTCTCATCACACAGCAGAATCAGGAAGATGAAAGTCTTGGAAAAATACAGCTTGAAAGGCAATTTCAAAGAATGTGTGGTACAGTAGTTTTGGACATAGGTGGTTCTAGGTTTGAATCTAAGTTTGTTTAGATGCTCAACACTCCTTGGTTTGCCCGGTGTTGTGACACACCTGGCAGCTAATACACACAGACTGTAACAAAGTGCTGAGCATAGCACAGTGGGTTGTTACCTTTTCTCTTTCATTTGTTCTGCTGGCTTTGTAAATCCCTTAAACATCCAGTCTGTTAGTCTGCTAAGCTAATTCATAGCTCTCTTTCCATTTTAGAATTTATTTCATAGAAGACTTTCTCATTATTTCCTGGTATCTGGTACTTAGTATGTAGGTACTATTAGTGCACAACTGATAATTATTGAATGAATGAGTTGAAAGTCATCACTCAGAGCAGCTTTGTAAGCCCTGTGCTTGCAGAGAAGAAACAAATGGGTGATTAAAAAGATAACCTGGGGCCCAGTGTGGTACCGTAATAGCTGAAGTCCTTGCCTTGCACACGCTTGCCACATGGGTGCCGGTTCGTGCCCCGGCAGCCCTGCTGCCCATCCAACTCCCTGCTGTGGCCTGGGTAAGCAGTTGAGGACAGCCCAAAGCCTTGGGACCCTGCACCCACATGGGGAACCCAAAGGGAACTTTGGGCTTCTGGCTTCGGATCAGCTCAGCTCCGGCTGTTGTGGCCACTTGGGGAGTGAGTCAGCAGACAGAAGATCTTTCTCTATGTCTCTCCTCCTCTCTATATCTGACTTTCCAATAAAAATAATAAATCTTAAAAAATGATAACCTGAAATAAAAAAGGTAATGTATAATTAGCTAAAGTATTTTTTTTTTTTTGTATCATGTTTAGGACACTAGACTATTGTATCACAGACTCAGGTTTTCGGTACCTTCCTCTCATTTGCTTAATTGAGGCTGCAGCAGAAATGAGACCTGCTTGTAATCCATTCATGCCAACAAATGCTTCTTTGCCAAAGCACCACTATTAGCAAGAAAAAAACCTAAATAGTGACTTTCAATGTTTAAGACAGTCTTTTTTCTTGAAGACACAGGGCACAATTCTCCTACTGGAGTTATCTAGTAGCTATAATTTCAATGTGCAACAAAATAAGAAGTTGACGATAAAATCAAGAAAACAAGGCAAACAATTCCTACTAGGTGTCTAGCTCTCAAACTCAAAGATACAGCTCTAGAAACTACCCAAATGGAAGCACAGAGAGTAACAGGAGGGAAAAATTAACACAGCAGTTTTAGAAGAAGTAGAAATACAGACAGATGTGGATATTGGAAGTAACCAACTGTTTATCTGAACTGTTAAATTTGAAAATAAACTGTGGTAATATTATTTGAACACACAGATATTAAATGAGCACCACTGAAAACTAAAGCAATATGTCCAATAAGCCCACAGAGGATGTATATAAAGTGGACTCACAAAAATATATAATTAATACATACCAAAATGGCAAGCAAAAGGCAAAAAAAAAGACCAGATAGGATAAAAATAAATACATCTGACAGATGCATATCGTTTCATTACATTTAGCTAAGATGCTGAGCAAGAGAGGGAAAGAGAGAAAGAGAGAGAGAGAAAGTGAGAGAGAATCATAGGCTTAAAGTATTATAGTACATGGTACTAACACCAAATAGAGAAGGCAGAGGTCAATTTGATACAAATGTATGATGCAAATAAATGTTATGTATTTGAAAATTACGTCCATGCATTCACCAAAACTAGTGAATATATTAGGTTTCATGGAAAAAGGAAGTTATGGTTACACACGGGACTAAATCTGCTAATCAGATGACTTTAGAGCAGGGAGATGACTCTGGATTCTCTGGGTGGGCCCTCTGTAAACACAAAGTTCTGTCAAGCTGGAAGAGAGAAGCTGAAGAGGTCAGGAGAGATGCATCTGCGCAGGATGAGCCAGCAAGATGCAACAGCAGAGCATTCACACACCCGCTCCCTGTGGCAGTGACTACACCTCACTCCGAGTTTTGGAAACAATTCTAAGTGTCACTTAGAATGCTTCACCGTGGCAGGTGTTCTAACCTTGCAGTTACAGACACGAGCCGGGATGCTCCCATACTGAACTGGCTGGGTGTGAGTCCCAGCTCTACTTCCTGTCATAGCACTTGGATCTCGTGGCCCTTGTGGGAGACTCAAGTTGAGTTTCTGCCTCCTGGCTTCAGCCTGGCCCAGTCCCAGCTTGGCAGGTATTTGGATGGTGGGAGGGGGGAGTATTTTGGGAGGGGTTGCTCTGTCTCTCTGCCTTTTAACAAAATGTAAAAAACAAAAAGAAACAAATTATCAAAGAAAAGGAAGGTTATCTTATAATCATAGAAGGGTAAATTCATCAAGGAAATATGATGTAATAATAAAATGTGCTAATAAACAACAATATAATAAATAATAAAACATAGAATAAGTATTAAAATAATAAACATAAATGAATGTAATAATACAATATTTATGTGCCTGAAGACTTCAAAGCTTCCCTCTTACTAGTATAGAACAGATGACAGACAAGCCACCAGTAAGCACACAGGACTGAACACTATCAGTCAACTATATAGGAACTTTCTAGAACACTCTTCCTAACAACAGGATACGCATTCATTTCAAGTGTTCAATCACATGCTTTAGATCATTAAGAATTTCAATATGTTTAAAATGTATAGAAATCACTGAGTATATTGTGACACACTGGAATAAAACTAGATCACAGGAAGAAATCAGGAACAAAAATTAAACAATGCGAATTGTTCTACGCAACAACCCTTCAGTTTAAAAAGTTTAGCAGGGCAATTAGAAAATACTTGTGAACTGAGAAAAAATAACAAACATATCAAAACTTGTGAAATACAGCTACAGCAGTATTTAAAGCATCAAACACACTTAGTAGAAAAGAAAGGCCTAAAGAAAATGTTCAAGTTTCTATATGAAAAAACAAAAACAAAAAAAACAAAAAACTCTACAAAATAAAAAACTGTGGGCTGGCACGGTAGCCTAGTGGCTAAACCCTTGCTTTACATGTGCCAGGATCCCACGGAAGTGCTGGTTCATGTCCCAGCTGCTTCACTTCCCATCCAGCTCCCTGCTTGTAGCCTGGGAAAGCAGTAGAGGATGGTCCAAGGCCTTAGGACCCTGCACCTGCATGGGAGACCTTGATGAAACGTAAGTTAAAGCTACAGTGATACTACACTACACTTCACAGCTACTAGAACGGCTAAGATGAACAGAGTACTGGGTGTCAGTGAGGGTGTGGAGCAACTGGAACCCTCATACTGGTGAGAGCAAAATGGAACAGCTACATAGGGAAAGTTGCTCAGTTCATAAAATGTTAAACACCTATCAGAAATTGTACTTTAAGTTATTTAAGGGAAATTAAATAAACCTGTTTACTTGTATATGAATGTTAACAGTGGCTGAATTCAAATTAGTAAATAATAGAAACAACCCAATCTCTGATTCCCTGTGAATGGGTGAACAAACGGTGGTAATCCTCATAGCAAAATAACACTCAGCAATAGAAAGGAATAAACGTAACTGGTAACAAACAGCACAGATGGATCTCAAAGGCATTATGTTAAATTAAAGAAGCCAGACACAGATAACTTCATATTAGATGGTTCCATTTAGATAAAATTCTGGAAAAGGCAAACTACAGTGAGAGAAAGTAGACAGTGGCTCCCTCGGGCTGGGGGCGGGGAGCAGGGATTGGTTAGGAGGGACACGAGGGGGCTTTCTGTGGTGATGAAAATGTTCTATATATTGGTTGCTGTCGTTCAGGATTTTGTGTGTACACATTTGTCAGAATTCACTGAACTGCTTAGTGAGTTTCACTGTATGTAAATTATACCTTAATAAAGCTGATTAAAAAATAAATGATATATCGAAATATGAAGAAATACACTTTCCACTTACAAATAAAAGTTATAAGCTAATCTCATGTTTTGGGTCCCTAGTCCATTTTTCCTGCTTGATAGGATGACAGCCTCGGTAAGCACACGCATCACAGTGACCACAATCAAGCTTTTCCTCGTGAAACACTGTTCTCCATGGTCCTTACCCAGCGTAGTGAGTCCCTCTGAGACAGACGTGAGAACATACAGGAGTACAGGAGGCTCCAAGTTGGTGATGAAGCTCATGTGGTCCTGGGTGAGACATTCCAGGAGTGGATAATAGGACTGGCTCAATTTCCGATATTGCTACAACACAGAGATAACACTAAATGTCAAGCCACGCAGAAGAAAAAGACATGTTACAATCCAGTGGAAATTGCCATTTATAATACTGGAAATTGTAAACTTAAACTCAAGGTCAATAACTCGATAGAATAAATGACATAAAGATTCCCAATTCAGCATTTAAAAGGATTCTAACAGGAATCTCCAGAAACCTCAATTTGAAGCTATAACATGGTATGCTATTTCAGCTTTACTTGTAAGGCTAACACTAACATGCAAGTAAAATCCTTGCAGCATGACATTCAGAAAATTGTGTGACTCATTTTTCCACACTGGAATAGTTTAATACCAGATAGAATTAAATAGTGGCAAGGCAACTTTATGTTGCCATTTGTTAAACACAAAGAAATTTGCTATTGTAATAGCATTAAATATCATAATCTGCTGTATATACAAATACCAACCCATCTCATTAGACTACTGTTTGGTAAATGGCTTAATTTTTATCATCTACTATAGTCATAAGATAGGCACATGAAAAAGTCACTTGAAAACTTCAAATGCAAGTCCAAGCCATACAGCATGGCACTTCTAAGACAGATACATCAGAGCAGCATTTCTTGAAGTGAGATTAAGACTACCTCCATAAGCGTCACTTGGGGTGCTTGTTAAAAGCAGTTGCCTGATATTTACTCCATATCACCTAAGTGAAAAACTCTTGGGTGAGGGTCTGCAATGCCCCTTGTAACACAGGTGCTGATGGTCTTACGTGTGTTCTGTAGTTTCAGAAGTATGGATCAGCTTGATTTAGAGAAAAGGTAAGAGAAAAATCTAGTGTCAGGGCCAGAAATATTTGTAACATAGATGCTGACAGTCTTATGCATTTTCTTGAGTTTGACAATTAACTAGAGATTTGCTTGATTTAGAGAAAAATCTTAGAACCACTCCAGTCTCTTGCTGGATTTCAACTGCAGTGAGAGTCCCTTTGAAGAGGTGGTGGCGACATATGGCTGAAATGACTCAAGTTTTCCCTTTGTGATTTTTGTCATCCAGGCAGAGCCTTTAATAACTGCATTCTATGATAAAGAGGATGAGGAACTTGGGTCTCAGCCGTGATCCCATGTAGGTTAGTTTAGGAAGGTGGCACAGGGAGCAAGGAGTGTTTCTCCCACAGGCAATCAAGGGGCCTCAAATCTTACTTGTGACTTAGGGAGGGGTCAGGTGGGAAAGTATGAAGCGAGCCTGAGCATGGATTTGAGCGTTCGCCAAGTAATCATCAATGTATCACACCAGGTACATACTACATTCTGGGTCCTCAAGCAGATATTAAAAAAAAGAGGAAAGTCTGACAAGGAAATAGCTGAGTGGAGGGGGCTGTAGATTTGAATTTCACGAAGTCCTCCAGGTATTTCTGATGGGCTGGAAAGTTTGAAGAACACTTTCATGAGAATCATGTGGGATGCTTGTTAAAATAGTTTACTGACATAAATTATAGGTATTTGCTGGTTGAGTAAAAAAGGAATGTTCAAATCAGTTTAATTTGCTCGTTTTCATAGGGTAGAAACAAGAGATCCATTCAAGATAAATGACCAGTGAGTGGCAACACTGGGACTACACATCACGTTGCTCAGCTTTTGCTTTGGCACTCCATGCACCACCCCAGAGTTGTAATGGAAATGAATGGTGGGAGAGGTCAGAGTGGAACGAAGTGGGTGGGTGGCGTGGTGGGGGGATACGGGGCAAGGGTGGAATTGGCAGCCAGCCCTGCTGCAGGAAAGATCTTTCCTGGATGGTTACAAGATCTTTTCTGGGCCTGGTGTGGTGGCCTAGTGGCTAAATCCTTGCCTTGTATCTGCCGGGATCCCATATGGGTGCCATTTCGTGTCCCAGCTGCTTTACTTCCCATTTAGCTCTCTGCTTATGGCCCAGGGAAGCATCAGAGCATGGCCAAAAGCAGTGGGACCCTGAACCTGCATGGGAGACCTCCTGCAGGTTCTGGAGTTCCTGGCTCCTGGCTTTGGATAGGCTTTGCTCCGGTTGTAGTGGTCACTTTGAGAGTGAACCAGTAGAAGGAAGATCTTTCTCTCTGTATATCTGCCTTTCCAATAAAAAAAATATATTTTACAAAGTGTCTTTTCTATAGTTATAAGCCATTAACTGAAACTACTAATTACACTTTCTCTATATGCAGAAGACTGTGAGCACTCTGGTGAGCAAAAGACAATTGGATGACCAATTTGTTAGAAAATACTAGCTGCAACTTTCTAAATGTGCACAGGAAATTATATATATACAGCGCCTATGGTTGTCCGAATTCTGTAAGTTCAGTGAAGTACGCTCTTTTCAGACATAAAACGCTGTGGTGCTATTCTAATCCCCAGGCTTCCTGGCAGCACTATGAGGTCTGTGGTGGCCACGCTTCACGTTTCACACAAAAACTCCAAGGATGCAGGATGGCTTACTAGCAAGTCACTGTGGGGCACGGACAGCAGCATTTTGACAAAGGCCTGGAGTGCATTGTCAAAATGGTTGTCCCCATACAACTTGAAGACACCAAAGCTGACATAATTTCCACACAAGGCAGATTTGAGAGCTGAATAGCAGATGGAGATGCCCTTGAGTTTCATTGGATACATTTGATCTTTGGAGAGGCTCCCAAGGGACAGGATCTGATTACCTGTTTTAGGGTAAAAGCAGAAACAGAAAGTGACATTAAGTAGATGCAGTTCAAAGCAACAGTTACGGGGCACACTATGTAACATTTTCACTTTCCTGCTGATGTTTACTTCCCCCAGCATCGCTTCAAAAACTGAACTATCCATTGTAATGAAACAGAAAACACAGGGCAGTTTACCTGGGAAGAACAAAGAGCTCAAGGAAAATCAGTTTAGGGTACTGGGCTAGCTGCGTATTTTCAGCTAGATAATTACGTGTGTATAGAAATAGATATGTAAAAGTTCATTGAGCTGTACTCAAGATTAGTTCACTTTATGTATTTTGATGTAGATGCTATTCCTTCAATAAAAAATATTTTTAAAAGTAAGGTCAAATAGTCAGTTAAGCCAAGAGTAAAAAAATAGCCTGATTGAAACATAAATCACTCTAATTTCTGGAGGAATTTTCAGTGGTTTAATATGAACTTGATTTTTGGGTTAATTTAGGGACTTGGAACATAAATTAAATGAAAATATGACACATTTATTGCTTAGTAAATGTTACTTTTCCTCTTTAGATGCTTTTTAAAAAATATCTTGGGATGGCTGCTTTAAAAAGTGTATTTATTCTATGCTAGCCATCAAAGGACCAGGAATTGTTTATGTAATTACCTTACGATTTCCTGTGGTAGTTCGTATTTACAGTCAACAATTTTTGTTTCTGGAATGTATAGTAGTAAGATACATCACTAGGTAATATCTCACATTCTTTCTTAAAAATACATACATTCACAGATTCCCTAGTCCTGTTGCTTCCTGCTCGAGTGAGCACTGCTTCTAAAACTGAAAACAGGAGTAAGTGCGGTTAAACCTATCAGCATCCCTTAAGGACGCTGACTCAAGTCCCACCTGTCCTATCCAGTCCAGTCCAGCTCTCTTAACTAACATATCTGGGAAGGAAACAGAATTTGGCCCAAGTGTCTGGATCCTTGCACCCATGTGGGAGACCCAGATGGAGTTCCTGGCTCCTGGCTTCAGCTTGGTCCAAGCATGAGCTGTTGTGGCCATTTGGAGAGTGAGCCAGCAGATGGAAGATTCTATCTCTCTAACTGTTTTCACGTAAATGAAAAAACTGAATACACACAACCAAAAATAAACTGTATTTATAAAATTTCGGGGTATGTTGTGCTGATTAATACTGTGTGAAATTGGCTAAATAAATTTTCTAGAATCTGTATCTTTCTATGGCTCAAGTAGAAGTGGCCAAAACAGAAGTCATTGTGCATCTGGAGGCTGAACGTGAAGCAGCCGCCATGACTCTCTGAAGGTCACTGTGGTTAAAGATGCTGAGAGTAATATGGAGGAACACTTCTAGGCTCCAGTTTGTCTTTGTTCTTATATGTTCTGTGTTTAGAACTACCAGCCCTGCTGACCAACGAGCCTAAGCCCACCACCAAACACCTGACAGCAAGCCTACAGAAGCAGCCGCTCTGCAGAGCCAACAGCCTTCCACTGACTTCTATGCCACCCTGCCAACTCCTCCACCCTGTGTCCTCTCAGAGCCTCACTCCAGCGGCTAGACAAGCTCTTGCAGGGACACCTAGAAGGCAGAACTTGTCCATCCATCCTCTGATTTGAGGAGGGCTCATCTGTGATTTCTTTTATTGAATCTTCAATTCTCCCTCTGCACCTATTTATTTATCTTCCTCCAAGATTGTATAAACTCCAATTCCTAAAATAAATACTCATATTTCATAAACACCAAATTGCTTCTTTTGCCCTATTTGAATCCTGTGAATATCTAAATCACAGTTATCTTGTGCGTACTAGGAGGTTTAGAAGGACCAACATTTTTAGTAGCAAGAAACAGGACTAGACCAGGGGAGGGGTGTCTCTCATAAACGTGCTGAACATTTCCATGCAAGTGCTTTCTGTGCAGCCTTACAAACCCACATGGATTTGCTTATAATTCATACATCTGGATGAAAAAAAATCACTGACTGGATGGTTGAAGCATGTCTTCAATTATTTACTCAATCCCAAATTCATAATCTCATCCTAACTTATCTTAAGAGATACAGCAGTTCTATAAATAATCAATTTGGTATCACAGCATTTATGGTTAAGCTGTTAAGTTCTCCTGTATGAGGTACTGGGATAAACACACAAATAATAAAAACAAATCTGCCCTGAAAGAGTTAAATCTGGTCTGGAAGCAGATCTGTAAATAATAATTCCATACAATGTGACAAGTGCTATCAAATAGCCATGTCAAATTGTTATGGGATAGCAGAAGAGATTAACACTTAGGACAAGAGAACAGGTTGTCTGAAGGATCAAGTGCAGTTTCCCAAGTAGATCAGGTGCAAATGGAGGGAGGTGAAAGAACATGGGGTTCTGGGAGGACATTTTAAACAACTGCTTTCCTACCTTTACCTCAAGCTTAATTAAATCAAGGCAGATATTTTTTTCTACGTCTCAAGAAAGAATAGACGGTGTATGTGATGGAAAAAGCTAGGGTAATTTCAGAAGACGGGAAGTCATTCATAAATTCTGTGTTTGTTGGTAAGGTCAAGGTGGATGAAAGAGGGCAAACTATTGGGGGTCTATTTAATCAGAAGATTTTTTGGGGAAAGACAAGGTTCTATATTCTGTAGGAAAAGATGCAGGAAAACAAATTTGATTATAAAGATCTGGAAAACATATCATCAAGAAGGATTAGTTCACAACTTCTATTTTGTCACACTTGTTACACATTGTAATCGTGTATACATGTCTGGATTTTTTTTTTTTTTAAAAGATTTATTTTTATTATTATTTTTTTTTATTGGAAAGGCGGATATACAGACAGGAGAGACAGAGAGGAAGATCTTCCATCCAATGATTCACTCCCCAAGTGAGCGCAACGGGCCGATACTATGCCGATCCGAAGCCAGGAGCCTCTTCCGGGTCTCCCACGCAGGAGCAGGGTCCCAAAGTTTTGGGCCATCCTCGACTGCTTTCCCGGGCCACAGGCAGGGAGCTGGAAGGGAAGCGGAGCTGCCGGGATTAGAACCGGCGCCCATATGGGATCCCGGGCGTGCAAGGCGAGGACTTTAACCACTTGCACCACCGCGCCGGGCCCGCATGTCTGGATTTTTGCAGCATGTCAGATACATATGCATTACAAACATGCAACAGAATGAGAAACTTTTAAATAGATTTGTGTACTTATTTGAAAGGGACTAAAAGGGGAGGGGGGAGAGAGAGAGAGGAAGAAAGAAAAAGAAATAAAGGATGAAAGGGAAAGAAAGAAACAGGGGAATCTTTTATTCATTGGATCACTCCTCAAGTTGCCACAACAACCAGCGCCGAGCTAGGCTGAAGCCGGGAGCTTCATCTGGGTTTCTCACATGGGTGTTAGGAACTCGAGTACTTGGAACATCACCTGTTACCTCCTAGGCATATTTGCTAGAAGGTGGACAGGAAATGGAGGTACGACTATATCCTAGGCACTCTGCCATGAGATGTGGGTATCCTAAGCAGCAGCTTAATCTGTTGTACCACAATCTGCAAGGGATAAATAGTTTTAAATGATTTATTTATTTGAAAGAGAGAGAGAATCTTCCATCCATGGGTTTATTCTCCAAATGTCCACTACAGCTGGGGGCAGATCAGATTAAAATTACGAGCCTGAAACTTAAACTGGGTATCCCCAGCAGGTGGCAGGAACCCAATTAATTAAGCCATCACTGGCTAATTCTGAGAGTGTGCATTAATAGGAAGCTGGAATGAAGCATATCCCAGAATTAAACTTTGATACAAGATGTGGGTGTCCCAAGTGGTATTTAACCTTTGTGCCAAATGCCTGCGCCTGACTAATATTTTTGAAGAGGAAATTGTATCTCATTTTGCTCAAGTGCTCAGCATTCACTTGTAGCTATAAAAGATGAAGAAGGCTTGGCCAATCATCATTTATTTACTGCTATTCACCTTTACTCAATATGTATTCAACAGTACTTATTGAAATTGGAGACCCAGTCTTCAAAAAACTTAAATCCAACAGAGAAGTTGGATGTTTGATGTTCCTCTTTCAGTATAATTTTCCTTATCCTCTTTGCTCCACCACACACCTAAAGAAGCGCAACTCCTACCTTCCCAGCATTTACTTTCTACCAGTGGGATCTATATTACACTGGAAATGATGGCATTCATGGCTGGCAGCAACGGGAACACTAACTCTTGCTACTTTTTAGTAGGATCACTGCAGCACAATAGGAAATGACAGTTTCCTTCACGAAACTTTCAGAGGCTAGAACCAACAGGAAAAACTACTTGTTTGCCACTGACTGCATGTGCTATAACTGGGAATTGGGGAGAAACCTCAACCTTAGTAAAATGGTTACTGAGGTTTTATCGGGATTATTGGAAAAGAATGATGTGAACTGAATAGCACATCTGTCCAAAGGCAGTAATTTGGAAACGAGACATAAGAACAACGGAATTGTCATTGTTATTCTTGTATTTGCTGTAGCAGAACAAGAAATACCATTCAATGATAAGGGGAAATGACTGGGAAATAAGCATAAAAGATGGCATGATAATTTGGCTTATCAAAAAGTTTCCTCATTATTCATTTATATTAACTACTTTAGTTCTTCCTTCTTGACTTGTACTCTCTATTCTTAATAGAAAGGACTTTTGTGGTTGCCAGCTTTCAATACTCGGAAGCACCCTTCTAGACTTCTCTCAAGATTAGATTCAAGAGTCTCAACAGCTAGAGATGGACAGAGAAAGATGCAAAAATTTCCCCTTTCGCTTAGCTAAGACTTTCAGATCTATTTATAAAAATGTTCTAATATTTCTTGAACAACAAAAACATTTATTTAATTGAGAAAGAAGAGACAGACAGATGAAGAGATCTATTGGCTCACTTCCCAAATTTCCACTAAAAACCAGAGGATGGCCAAACTCTAGTCAGGAGCTTGAATTCCACCTCCGCCTCCCAGTCTCTCTCTTGCAAGGACACAACCACTTGAGCTAC